TTATGATAACAAAATAAGAAGGAACTGTAGTTTAGTTTGTTACTGAGAGAGGTTAGATTTCTTTTTTTATCCCCACCCTAATCTTCTGTGGCCCTTGGAGCATTTAGAAGATAGTCTCAGAGGTTATTGTGGCTATATGTAAAGCAGCATGGTGGCAAAGAAAGGAACAGGATAGCTGTTAGTGAGACACTCCAGCTGGGGAAGCAGTTAGGGGCATGAACTGGTGTCAGGGTCCGAAGTGGATATGGTTGCTTTTCTCTGAGGGATTCCTCAATGAGTGAGGTGGGTAAAGCAAGGGTAAAGCTGAACATTGTCTATAGAAAACCAAGCAAACCACCAGCACAGCGTTCTCAGTACCACAATCTGTTAGCAATAGACAAAACTGGATTGAACCAGAGAAAAACCCAGGACACTTTTTCATACAAACATATAACTGACTATGTAAGATGTCTACCACCCTTGTCTTTCCTCTCTGACCCCAAAACGAGAGGAGCTCAGCAGTGGGGAGTGAGGATGGTTGTTTCAGAGTCAGACCTCCTTTCAACTTCTCTATTCCAAGCAGCAGCCTCACGGTTTGTGTAGAGGGGAAAGAAAGATTATATTTATGTCAGTTTCACAACTGAAGTTTTAAATTGGACAAATAAACGTCAAATAACTGAAATTGGTAGAAAGTTAGAAGATGTGCTAAGATTTCGTTAAAGAACATGAGAGTAAGATTTGACACATCGTGAATGGAAGCCTGGGTTGGTATTAAAAATATAACTATTTTGTGTTTATACTCTTGTTGAGACATATTACTTGAGTAACCAAACAATGAAACATAACATTATAAGCCACACCAAACTAAGGAGGAATCAAAATCCACTAATCTAAAATTATAATTTCATGGAACATTTTATTTAAATGTAAAATTTCATCTGACTTCTCAGTTTTGGGATTCTGTCAATTGCTTTTTTGTTATAACAAAGTGAGTTGATCTTCCTTCCATCAGCAACCTATCATACAAACTCTTCAGGCCCTTGTCTGAATATATACTCATATTATCTCCTATTCTGTTTCTAAAAGGTTCTTCTGAGGGAAGTAATATTTAAGAAAGTTCATTTAAGGAACATTGTACCCTTTGTCTAAATACTTTGAATTCTGCCTTTAGATCAAGCTAGATCAGTGGAAGTTTATGTACCTGGAAACAAAAATATATCTCCTTTAAAAAGCTGTCACCAACTTTAACCTCAAAGTTATATTCTCAAGCTTCTTTGAATTATTACAAGAAATAGTTTATAAAATTCTCTTCTATTTGTTGGTAAAAGTATTGCTGATATTATTCAATGTGTTGCTCAGTGTGATCTCCCTATGGGAAATTTCTCCATCAACTTAGTGACAGGAAAAATTCTCTCATGATTTGTTTCTTTCTTTTAAATAATGAGAATTGTGAAACTTCTGTTTCCTTTGTTGTTCTTAATATCAGTAAGTTTAAAGCCAAACTTGCAGTTCTATCAGAACAAGTATCTTAAATAATATATACAATATATTACACTTCTGTTTTTTTCTTGAATTTCATCCTTATTTTATCAGTATATTTTACATTTTGGGGGAGTGTCTGTTTGTAAAGAAATAGAGTATAGGTAAATAAATTTGGTTGATGTGCCAGGAAAAGTTGGTTCAGGTGACTGAAAGTTGAACTCCTAACATGAAATTGATTCATCTCTGAGGTATTTTTCAAAGACTATTTCCAAAAAAAAAAAAAGAGAGAGAATTAAAATGGCCACCAAAATGTAATCTTCATTCATTTATTAGTTTAATAACATTAACAAGTCTATACTGTATATTCCATTAAATTGAATAATAGGATTATTTTTTAACAGTGTTACTGTCAGTTGATTCTAAAAACTCAATCTCTGTTTTTTATTATATGTATCGCTATATGTAGAAAAGCTTAGCAGATCCTCACATCGATGCCCAGGAAAATTATCCCCAGCATTATAAAGACACTTAGGTCAGTTATAGAACATCTTATAGAAGAATAGGGCTAATAGGTAATATTTTGGATAAGAATGTAGCACAAGGAAAAGGAGAATCAGTGACACAGTACTGACAGCTTGACTTCACATACTAATTAATTATATTGATCCTCTTTGTTTTCTCAGCTTAAGCAAATTAAAGTGCATGGGTACCTTCAAAACAACACATGATGAAAGAAAATGGATTCACAAATGACAATAGCCGTGTTTACCCGACAACTAGTTAATTCACTAGTTTAATGACATTGGCCAGTGTAATGTACATTCCAATAAACTGACCAATAAAAGGATTGCCTTAGCATTATGGAACTATAATCCAAGTATAAGTTTAAGGGCTTCTAAGTATTAACCAGATTATTACACACAGACATTCATGTATTATCAGGTATGAAAGAACCTTGTGCAAGCTAGGGGATATTCAAACAATGATAAAAATCATCCATGACTAGCCACCTGGGCACTGTACTTCTGTAGTTTAAGGCCATAAGATGCCTCAGTGCTTTGACATTGCTAAGTGTAAAAAGGACTATGCAATAATTTGTTGGCTGATAGAAACACATGTGGTCACATTGCTATTTCACTTGTTATGAAATGTAAGATATCTGCTGTGGATTTCTAAAAGACTCCAGTCCACAGAAGTATTTCTTCTGACTGTCCCTGTAATTGCACTGAATGGCACAGGGAACACAGACCAACACACAAAAAGAAGAGGAACTCTTTGAAAACATCTTTTTCACACCGTACTTTAGGACAAAAGTATTGCAGAATAACATTTATGGTTTTAGAAAAATCACACTGCCATGTGTGTACCTATGCAACAATCTTGCATGTTCTTCACATGTACCCAATTAATTAGATTTATTCTTCTTAAGAATTTTTTTTAGGTTTTACCAAAATACTGATGATATTCTGTCAAATTATGTTTGTCAGATTGAATGAAATGAACTTCTTAGTGGTCCTGAAATAAAAAAAAAAAAAAAACAGCAAAAAAGAAATTTGAATAAAACACAAACTTTTGCTTCTCTGAACTTTTGGAAGACAATATTATCAGGATCCAATGTTTCATTACTTCTTTCCCTGCCATTCAAATTTCTACTAAAGTGTAAGGTACATCATGAAATTTGATAACATGCACTGCAATGCCCACTGAGTAGACTGAAAAAAGGCCATTAATACAGCAAGGAAGACACAGTTTTCATATCTTTATTCTGATATCCACTTATTCTTTATTTACATAGGCTTAATCTCTTAATTTTCTACAAATTGTAGCTTATAGTCACAGAGTTTTTAAAAACTTTATGAGAGCCCTCTCATTTTATGCATATACAATTCTAGGTTATACATAAACCTAAATATACAGGTCCATGGGGCTATATAAAGAATTTATTTGAATTTGAAATCCAGATTTTGTGAAAGAATAAAATGTCTTGAGATTTTGTTAAAATAAGTCTGGCAAGTCTTGGCCCAAAGTTACACTGAGAGGGAATCTGTATTCCTTTGAAGGCAAGAGTATAATCAATATTTTCATAGAATGTGAATATAAAGTATAATATAGTATTATTAAACCATATTAACATTTCATTGGCAGAGATTTCAGTTTCTTAAACACTGTTAATCTCATAACCCGTAATCCCTGCCTTTTTACTGCTATTACTGTTACTGTTGCCTCTTTATTTTTGGCTAAATTACAATTTTTAAATGAATACACAGAAACCCGATATTATATATTGAATGACTTTAAGTAAATAAATATCCCTGCTATTCATGGAGGTAAGTGATCTAGTGACAATAAAAAGGATATATATTGCTAGCCTCTAGCACAGTATGCCCCTGCATAGAAGTTTCTTGGGTTACTTCTAGTGAGTGATTCCAATTCTTGGCAGTCTGATCCCACACATTATATAAATTCCAACTCCTGCATCTGTTTAGATGAGCTGTTGGCTAAATAGATGTGTAGTTAAATTAAACAGTATTTATTTGTTTTTTAAATGGTGATTTTTGGGACTGGTTATGCCCCTTCTTTTTCTACCCCTTTCCTTGCACCCCATCCCCCACTCATCCTTCCCATGCATATTTTTGAGAGCCTGTATATGCCAGGAACAGGGTTTCAGTCTGTTAAGAATTCACAACCTTGTGGAGTTGAGATACAATAAATAAAAAATTCTAGTATAACGAGGTAAATATTATGACACCATCAAAGCACAGAGGAGAAACACCTACTTTGGTTTGTGAGGATTAGGGGAAGCAATTTAGAGATTACACCTAGCACAAACACACAGATATTTGCATAGTATGTGGTCACGCATTAAAAAAAGATGTTATTTATGTCCCAGAAATAAGACAGTAGTGACTCAGTGTGAGCTGATATTCTCCAGTATAATGAAAGAAATATAATGTCTCAAGTGTGGGTTGATATTTGCAAACTACCTGATTTTTCTAGAAGAATGATGCCACATAATTTAAAAATATTAATGCTTTTCTAATTTCTAATGTATTTTCAATGGCTAACATAGTTAAGACCAAAGGGAAACTTTCATTATGGTCATAATAGAGTAGAAAATGTCTCAGGTTAGTTTAAAAAATATAAATGTCAGTCCTGGCTTGGCAGTTTAATAACTATTTTGTTTTGACCAAGTTATTTAATTTAATTAGATCTCAGTTTCTTTTCTGGAAACAAGAGAAGGTCAAGTAAGATAGTTTTAAAATTTCTTTCTAAAATTTCTTTCCACATCTGACTTTTCTAAAAAATATGGTTTACACTAATACTTAAAAGAAATTATCTTAATAGCTTTAAAGTTCCCACTCCTAGGAAGTGCTTATAAATTATTTTTTCTCTTGCTCCCTGTAAAATTTGTCCTTGTCCTACTAGTCACATACAGTCCCCACCACACTAGCCGAGACTTGTCAGACTGGTTCTGTTGAGATCATCAGTGACTTATTTCTTCACTTCAATTCAACCCACAAAGTCACTGATGGAGCTGGCTGCACACACTTGGATGTAGACCTCAGCCTTCACAGGACTCTTCATTGCTGGTCAGCAATGTATCGGTGAGTTTCCTTTTTCTTTCTTGAAGTCTTAAGGTAACTTTTGGTTTAAAACAGCATGAGCCACACCAAGGAATCTGTAGATCTTCAATTTATTGTTATTTTTTTTTAAATATAGAAACATACTTGTGAGATTTGACATAAAATTATATCAAGAAAAATATTTCTATTCTTTCTCTATCAGTGTCTCCTGTCCTCTCGTGTTGTATCTCACAGTGTTTTTCTGTATACCTTTAGAAGGGTCCTATGCAATGTAAAGCACATGGTGTTTGACAGCTGTCTTTTAGTTAGTTAGTTTGCCTATATGTTTCAAGAAATATATAACACATTTTTAGCCTGGGCTTTGTTTGTCTTAAGATGTTTTGAAAGAACCAGAAACAACTGAATAAAGTAATATGACTAATTTTTTATGGTCTGATTTAAAAAATAAACCCACTGATATACCTGGCCATAGTAAACTCCAATATGTAAATCATGGTCATTTTGAGGTTGTTTTCTTTCAAAGTTAAAAGCTAACCAGTAACAACATTTTAGGGTACTAATTTCGTCTTTGAAAATAATTTTGTCTTCTGATTCAAATTTATTTTCTCTGGTTCACATATTGGCATATAATTTTTTATTAGTTTTTACTTTGAGAAGTTTCAAATGTTAAACTTTGAATGAAATTGTGGTCTTCATTTAACATAGAAAAACAGATTCTGTCATCAATTGAAAGTTCTACATCCTTGTTATGAGAAACTTAATACTCTTCTGTACATGTCCATGAAGCAACTAAAAGCTACAGATACTAAAAATTTTGTCAGACTTCTCAAGGCTCCCTGCTTTTTGCAAGTATTTCTTTATAACCAATGATGGTTTTGTATCCCATTCTCTTTTTCTCATTTCTTTAAGAATATTACAGAAAACAGTGCTTCAAGAAAGCTTGCAATAAACTTAACATACTAAATAGATTCCAAGCCTTATCTATGGTATATGTGAGTGAGTTGGAATTTAGTTATAAATTTGTAGAGGAGGTATAATGTGGAAATACTGGAATAAATTTTTCTGAATGTAGTCTCTAATTTGACAAAAGATGTGTCTATTTTTAAAAATCCTACTGCAGAATAAATGCAAGTAATCTCTTAAGGAAAAAGCCAAAAACAAAAACCAACCACTCAACACACAAAAAAATCTTCCTGATCTGAAGATTGTATAAAAGTTGAAGCACATCTATGTTTGAGTGAGTCTAGATGAGAGAAAATGTTAACAGCATGTACTAAAGCAGAAAATGATTAAGTTTATTATTCACATTTGCTGTTGTAAATGCACCAACCAGAGTATTTTCGAGAAAGAGCGATAATTGAAATCCTAGGATATAAGCAGACAATTTCTTTTTAAGGTCATTGGCGTAAAACTCAGAAAGAATATAAGAAACAGGTGGGGAATTTTATTAAAAAGCATGCTCCTTCCTTTTCAGTCAGATTTCTGATAGCCTTCTCCCTGACTCTACCTGAATAAGGATTTGTTTTTTTCTAGAATTTAAGGGCAGGAAAAAATTTAGACTGGGTAAACATTATTCTTCTTGTACTGTCATTTTCTCCAAACTCTTATTTTGGACTATTTGAGCATGAAGAGATCAACACGTGAATCTTATAAACGCACGACAGAAAGTTAAAGAAAATTTTATCAGGCAAAGTTTATAGAAAAGAGATCTGGGAAAAGAAGAATGTATTCATTAAATATACTTATTGGTGATAGAAGTATATGCTAACTATATTTATCAGCAACCACTGAGAAGAATGAAAAGTAAGCAGACTGAACTTATAGGCATCAACATTCACACACGTTTAGATGGATGAAGGTGAAATGAGTAATATTCAAATGAGACAAAATGGGCAACTTTAATTTTTACTTAATAGGGTAAGCATTGTCTCTCAAAGTGTGATCCATAGATCCCGAAATGACAGTGCTTATTAAAAATAGAAAATCCAACTTTCATCCCAGAAATTACAATGAATCTCTGATTGAGACATAGGAATCATATTTTAAAAATTTACACAATGTAATTCTTATTTACCCTGAAGTTTGACAAGCACTAATAGTGTAAAGACATTAAAAAAGAAAAAGAAACGTGTAAGGCTGAAAGAAATTAAACCACAAATGAAATAAGCCAGTTGTTAAAAGAAGTAGTTCTTTGTTTTGTTAAATTGGTGTAATTATATCTTAATGGGAGCTGCTCTCTCCCAGTCACCTTTCTCTTCAAGGGAGAAGAGTACTCATTTATGCAACCTGGTGATGATTAAGGAAGAGAGGATAATTTCAGGAGGGATAGGAAACTGAAGGGAGAATATAGACATTTTTTGGTTAGTTTATGTCTGATAAGGAGGATGACTTTATTTGGATCATGAACATCGATTCATCTATTTGTTTACAGAAAAAACTTTGATATAAAATTAATCCAGCAGTGTCATCCTGTGACACTAGTCAGTAGCAATATTGAAGGGACACTCCTTTGAGGCTTAGGCCCTGAGTTGCTATATTATTGTGCTAAGTATTTAACACGTGCTCGCACTTCTCCTTCAACTAGAATCAGCCCTGATCCATATAACAACTTTTAGTTAGTTTTCACTGCGTGCCAAGTCCTGTGTGGAAGAAAATTATGTATTGAACACCTACTGTGTATTGTGTATTTTGTTAAATGCAATTTCATTAAATTTCGGTAACACTCTGAGAAGTGGTTACTGCTTTTATTTCTTTTAAAAGATGAAGTGCCTGTAACTCAGATTGACTAGGCTGTTAGTAAGTGCTGAATCTAGAATCTAATCCTGATATTTCCAGTTTTAAAATCTATACTTTTTTTTCCCTATGACATATTGTCTACCATGTGTAGGAGGCTAAAAGTAGAATCTTTGGAAAGTTTGCAGAGAAAATAGATGGTAGCAGAGAAATAGAAAACAAACCCACACATATCCACACATGGAGAAAACGTAGGTGCATAGATTTGAAAAACAAGAAGATGTACAGATTAATATAAAATCATGTACATTCTAAAAAGAAGTGTGGAGATATAATTTTATTTTCATTTATAAGTTTTAAAAACATTTAAAAAAATGCACTTCCTGCCCTTATACAACCTGCTTTGTATTTAAACAAAATAAGCAGTGACCTAACTTTTCTGCACTGTCTCAAAGGTGATCAGATCATAGCACTTTAATTACATCATCTCTGTTTTCTAAAAAGGATTGTATTTGCTGTACTGTGAAAATCATGTCTATCTTAGAGCAACATTTCATGAAACTAATTCATTGGTCTGTAGTAACTGCTTAATGGATCTTTGTTATTCTGCCATTGTTGTCTACTTTCCTCCAAAAATATGTCATTGCTTAAATGACATAAAGATAAAGTAAATAGAAACAGTCCAGAAAAATATGAAAAATAGCAGTGTCATGTGCTTCCATATCAGCACTGAGATTTATAAGCACTCCTGATGGCTTTAGTGCTTGTGAATGAGGTATATTGAACAGTTGTGAAGCAGGTATTCTGGAAGGGTAGGTGGTGAAATGGCTTCCCTGGCTTGTTTTATGGCTCTATCAGGGTTAGAGTTTAGAGAAAATTTTTAAGTGTACTCCTTTGGATCTGCTCTCATTGAAGATAATGGATGAGAATCGTGAAGAATACTTTCACATTTTCAGGCTTCAATAGGTTTGAAATGACTGGATTAAAAAGAAGGAAGGTTTTAAGATGTTGAGAAAGAAAAATGGGCTGCAGAAACACCTGGTCATGCCAGAACCTGTGAGCCCAACCTTCTTCTCCTGGGTACACATGGCCTGTGTGGTTGGGTAATTTCTGAGATTTTTAGAATAGTAATTCTAAGATGATAGAACTAATCTTAGGGGGATCCAAAGTTCTATGCAGGCATATTTAAATTCTGTCTTGCAACCTCTCATCTGAAGATGGCAGATGATATCTCTGTTTTGAAGCTGCGAAAGCAGACGCAGAAGGATTTAGTTCTTTGTTTAAAGTTGAACTGCGAGTCAGTGCAGGACAAAATAATAATTGCTATCTTTAGTTTCACGTGTACTAACTGCCAACTACTGTCCTAAAACATCATGTGCATTTAAACTTCATATCAACCTATGGTTATGTTATTACACTTATTTTACAGATGAGAAAAATGAGGCTCAGACAGGTAATATTTTTTTGCCCAGGGGTAATAAAAGGCAGAACTGATGGTTAGCCCAGGTCTATCTGACTTCAAAGCCTATGCTTTTAATCACAATGCTATCTGTCCTCACAATGTCTCCTTTGTCTACCAACATGGTTCTTTTACTACTTTGATTTAACTGACTTATTGTGTTAAAAGATAAAAAAAATATTTTCCAGAAACATTGTTATGGATGGTCTTTGAAGTAGACCTTTAAGGCCAGTGGATAGGAAGCATTGCTGCATGCATTCTCTAAAGGAAGGGAATAAAATGCTCAAAGATGAGATAATTTGCATGTGGCCACAGGAATGGATGAGTCAGTCAATACCAGAGATAGAGTCTGTCCTTCCAGTTCACCTGTATACTGAAGTCAATATAGTCAAATAGAAGAGTTAAATTAACATTGGTGACTACGTAACCCAAGAAATATTATTGTTATTGTTATTATTACCATTTAAGCTTGTATGAAAATATAGGGCCCATTTAAAATTAGTCACTTCACATTAAATCTTGTCAGGTCACATTTAGTAAAATTTAGGGAGGGTACATATAGTGAAAAAAAATATTTGATATAAATATGAGATGACACACTTATGAGATATGACATAAATATGCTACATATATAATTTCAACGTATGTTTTCTCATTGATACTTGACAGCCCTGAGAATCAGATAATTTTAATATCACCATGAATTTACAGCTAGGGAAACCAAAAATTAGGAAGACTGAGACTTTTAAATCTCTGCATTAAGTGACTGGTAGAGCTGGAAGCTGAGCACACATGTTCTCACTTCAGCCCTGCTCTTTCTAGTCCTTCC